GAGAGAGAGAGAGAAGGGCACGAAAAGGGGCAAAGTAGCAGGCAGGGGGGATGCTCGCTCTGTGCGTGTACGGGGCGGGGCGCGATGCGGACGACAGGAGGCGGGCGCGGACACCGGAGCGCTCGCGACAAGGTGGGATCGCGCGGTTGGCCACATGTGGGACGTCGGCCGGGGCATGCCCCGGCCTGCTCGGCGCCCCTCGGGTTTACGCGGCCACACGACCACGCGTTCGTGTCCGAGGGTTGGTGTGGCCCATGGGCGAGCGGCTCTCGCCTGGCGAATGCCCCGGGGGTGCAGCGGAGGGCGGCCCGGGCACCGATTCCCCGAAGGCCCGGCGGCCGGGAGGGGATCCCTCCCCGTGCCGCAAGTATGACGGTGATCGGGGGGGCGGCCGCGCCAAGATCAGGTCCTCGCTTGTGTGGCGCATGGCCCGGGATCGGGCCCGGGCTTGGCATCCTGGCGCGCCTTCAGGGGAGGGTGCTCACCGAGCCCGGCGAGGGCACCCGGCCGACACGGCAGGATACGTGGTCGCCGCTCGGGAGCGGGCACACCCAAGAGCCGATGCCGTTCGCCGGTGCTTGCCGACACCTGGGCCCGCCGGGGGGGGGGGGGGGGGGGGCGCTGGTCCTGTTGGGCCGCGTGTTCCCCTTTGAATGCAAAATCCCTGCAAGGGGTGGGCGGGGGCGGGGGGGGGGGTGGGGGGGGGGGGGGGGGGCGGGCACACCCAAGAGCCGATGCCGTTCGCCGGTGCTTGCCGACACCTGGGCCCGCCTGGGGGGGGGGGGGGAGGGCGCTGGTCCTGTTCGGCCGGCTGTCTCCCATTGATAGCCAACTCCCTCGAAGATGTCGCTGGGGCTGAGGGTGTGGACCGGTGTGCGGTGTGGCCTTGTGCCTGACCTCGGAGCCGGTTCGAGCGTGCGAAGGGGTCCCCGCTGCTCCTGCCGGAGGGTGGGCCGGCACCGTCGACGAGAAGACCCGGCATTTTTCTTCTTGGCGCTCGGCTAGCCTCCCAGCGAGCATCCCGATTAGTATAGTGGTGAGAATCCCCGCCTGTCACGCGGGAGGCCCGGGTTCAATTCCCGGATCGGGAGATCCTTTTTGACCCGATCATATCGGCGAAGTGGGCCGCCCGATGCGGCGCGAGCCTTTTTCTTGCGCCCCCTTTGCCGCGCTCCCCCCCGTGCGCACTGGCACCCCCCCGCCCGATGGCGAGACGCATGCCGTCGCAGATCCCGGGCAATCGGCACCCCGGCGCAGCGCCATCCCCGAGGACCGAGCATGCCGGCCTCGGGGGGCAGGCGCCCCGAGGATCCCCCCCCCCCCCCCCCCGGTGCGCCGGCCGAGGAGGGTCGCGCGCCGCGTGTTTCCCCCCTCCCAGAGGGGCTGGGTAAGGTGCCTTGCACCGGGGACACGGGGTGGGGGTCCTCAGACTCGAAGAGTACGCTGCTCCGCCGGGCTCCGGTGCTCCGGGCCCCGGGTGTCGGTCCCTGCTCCCCACACAGCACTGGCCGAACAGGGGGGCCGAGGTTTTTAAGCTTCCATGAATGTGGCCGGCTCGAGGCTCTTGGCAGCCCTGTTCGAAGGTGTATCACCTCCCCAAGCGCTCGATGGGACACCTGCCGCCCTGCTCCGCCCCCTTCCCGCCATATTGGAAGCAAGCATATGCTGCGGGCTGGGTGTGGGCGGGTCTTTTGAACGACCGTCGCGGGCATGGGGGGGCGGTGCCCGGCTCGTGGCCCCCAGCCTCACTGGAGGAAAGGCGAAACAACACCCTCCAAGCCAATGGAGACCCACCGCTCGGCGGTGCTCAAGGTGTTGACTCTGTGCCGGACCCTGCGCCGGGTAGGGGGAGGGCGCCGAAAAGGCGAAGCCGGGCCAGTACCCGCGTGTGTGTGTGTGTGTGTGCGCCTCACGGCTGCGCGCCCCCTGTGTCCCTCCTTAGTGCCTCTTTTCTCCCCCGGTGGTGGAGATGGCAGCCACCGGCACGCAGACAGGCTGCTCTCCACAAGAACAAGACACGACCCCTCCCCTGCCCAGGCTCCGCTCTCTTTGGGAGAGGGGCACGCTCCCGGATCCCAGACCGCGGCCCGGGCAAAAGAGAAGGAAGCCCACTGTGGGGCTCGAACCCACGACCCTGGGATTAAGAGTCCCATGCTCTACCAACTGAGCTAAACAGGCATGCAAGTGGGCAGCTGGGTTGCCATCAAGAAGCGTGGCGATTGGGTGCGTGCGCGCGCGCGCGGCATGCCAGTCTGTCTTGCTTGCGTCCTCCCGGCTCGGGGCGGGCGTTGGGCCGGCCATTCGTGTGTGTGTGTGTGTGTGTGTGTGTGTGTGTGTGCGTGTGTGTGTGTGTGTGTGTGTGTGCGTGTGTGTGTGTGTGTGTATTTGCCTGCGAGCTGCCCGAATGAGGGAGGGCAGGCAGAGGGGAGGCAGAGGGTCTGTCACTGCAGGAGGATGACCAGCTGGTGCAGGGTACGGAAGAGGAGCTGGACATTGGCCGGGTGGAACACGCCGCAGGCGACCTCCCGATGGTCAGGCCCGAGCATGTGCTCCACCGAGAGGACGAGTTTGACACCGTGGAAGTCCACCTCCCGGCGCTGGCGGGGCAAGAAGAAGAAGATGGACACGCGTCAGAGATGGCGGGGGCACCCATGCGGCGAGTGTGGTGGTACTCCCTGTCGGGGCCGGGATGCGACTCGAGAAGGGAGGCGCGGCCGGCGCGCGCGCAGGGGAAAAAAAAAACAAAGCGCCCGAAGGCCGGGGGAAGGCCGTTGCCCTCGCCGGCCCCCGGGCGGCCGATGTATGTACCTCGAATTGGACAAGGGTCTGATCGGCGAAAATCCCAAAGAACAGGGCCACCAGATCCTGGCGGGGCAGATGCAGCGGCTCGACCTGGAGACCCGAAACGGAGGGGGAAACCCGCACGCGGGCAATTGCCACCCCCGGCGGCGGACGGACCACTTCCATGGTGACGATGCCCTCGCTTGGCAGGAGCCCGGCAAAGTGGTGGCTCATCTGGATCTCGGCGTCCTGGTCGTGGGCGGCCGAGAGCCTGGCCAGGGGGGCGGGGGGGGGGGGGGAGCGGCTTCGGGGTGAGTTGCGGGATGGGCCGGCGACCGAGGGATCCGGGCAGGGGGCGGGGCTTCGAGCAAAAGCGGGCGAGAAACGGAAAAAAGGACAAAGGCGACAGGGGCAACCCACCGGGCCAGGAAAAGGTGTTGAGCAAGGCGGAAGAAGACCGGGTCGCGTGGGCCCGCCGAGGCGGGCCCCGGCAGCCGGGCAAGCATGCAGCTCGGCATGCGCAGCCCCCGGTACAGGAGCGTCGGCATCGGGACAAGACGCAGGCCGGCTGCCAGGCTGAAGCCCGCACGCCGGCGGCTGGTCAGGAGGACGGTCGGCCGATTGCCGAGGATGGCCATGGATGCGGGTGGGTGTGAAGCTTGGAAGTGGAAGGATGTCCGCTCGCGGGACAGGACCCCGGCTCGGGTGCATGCGTCGCTGGTGGCAACCAGCTGCGCCGCGCTGACAGTCCACTGGCCATGCCGCGTGGTGATGTTGTATTCCTGCGGCCGGTCAGCCGGCCACCGGGGGGGCGCGGGTGTTTGGCACGGGCACATGCCGGTCAGGGGAAGAAGCCGGCCGGGGGCGCCAGAGCGGGGAAGGCGGGAGGGCAGCGAGGCATGGTGAAGGGGCAGGGCCAGCGGCGACGCACAAGGCCCATCTGCAGAGGCACGCCGTCGGAGAAGCAGTGGAGCATCAGCTCCCGGAGGTTTTGATGATGGACACATGGCTTGCCCGAGAGCCCGGGCATGGACACATGGATGTGGGCAAAGACAATTTCCTCGATGTCGGTGCAGTATTCCAGGAGGAACTCCGGGTCGCCGGGCCCAAATGGCAGGGCTTCCATGTCGAAGTGCACGCCGTTGACGGGCGGAATGCAGGTGTCCGCGGTGCCGGGGCTGGGGCAGGGGCCCGGGGGGGGGGGGGGGGGGGCGGGTAAGCAAACACGCAAACACGCGTACACACATGCACACGGGGGAGCCCGCGGGGGGCGGGGCCCCAAGGGGCAGGGCACCGGCGTGCGCAACGAACCGAAGGAGGAAGGCCCGATTGCGAAGTCGCACATAGTGGCGGCTGCCTCGGGGCAGGGCCGAGTGGTGTTCCAGCAGCTGGTATGTTTCCGGGGCCAGGAGCATCAGGCCACGGTGGCCGTGGGGGCCGTTGTCATTTTGGTACATGGAGCCGAGCTCGGCCGGGGCCGCCTCGTAGAAGAGCCGCAGGGGGGCCGGGCTGGCCGCGGCGGTGAGGCCCACCGGCCCGGGAAGCCGGAGGAGCGCGCTCCGGGGATCCCCAATGAGCGAGAGGGTCATGGGTTGCCCCTGTGAAGAGTCCGTTCGGAGGGAGAACCGGAAGCGGCATGACCGGTCCCTGGTGGCATTGGATGGGAGGTAGGCCGATGTGAGAGGCTGCATATGCTGATCGACCATCGAGGTCGGCGTGACGACGAGCCAACGGGACAGCTGGATGAAGAAGGGCTGCCGAGCGAGAGGGAGGGCGGGGGCGGGGGCATCAGTGGAGGCCCGGGGAGGGGGGCAGGAGGGGGAGGGGAACCATCCGACGGGGGAGAGGGGACAAAGGGCATCATGCCATCACCCTGCCGAGCTCAATCCCCGGCAATGGAACGGCAAGGTGGGCGACCACCAGGCAGGCGGCTCTTTTCGCGGCCGGCCCCGCCACTCAGACCCCCGAGGGGCATCTGCGCCGACATACCTGGCCGACATTCAGAACCGAGCAGTGCGGCGACCAGAAGCAGTCTCTCTCGATCACTTCGTGATTCAGCCGACCGAGCAGCTGGTCCTGGGGGTCCGCCAGGGCGATGGAGCACTCGATGGTCGTGGCGGCCGGCGCGTGGGCGGCGATGTGGGCACGCGCCCAGGGGCGCCCGGAGGGGAGCCCGGGGAAGCCGCCGTCAAGCAGCCGAACGCGGCCCTCGGCCAAGGTGGACCGGGGATTCTCATCGGGGCTGCCGGGGAGGGGGGGAGGGGGCCGGTCAGATGCGGCCGCGCGAGAAGGATCCCCGGGGCGGGCGGGGGGGGGGGGGGGGGGGGAAGGAAAGGGCCCGGTCGCCGGCGCACGGAGAGTCGGACGAACGCACGACAAAATCGAGAACCACTGGCCGACTTGGAGAAAAATATCCACTCCCGTCACATGGGGAGCCATCATGCGAATGTACCGGTAGGTGTTCGGGTGGACGAATGTCCGGCCGGCGAGGCGCTGGTGCTGAGCTCGGGCCGGGAAGGATGCACCGGAGGGCATGGGCTGAATGTCGACCGCCAGGGCCAGGGGCACGTCCGGCTCATCGAAGTGCAGGTAGAAGAGCGGCACGTCCGCCGGCGGGCCGGGGGCATGGGAAGGCAGGAGGGCGACGCGGGTGGCCGGGGCGCCGGCCACCCGGCCAAGGGGAGCCGGCTGGGCGTCCTCCGGCCAGCGCATGCGCTCGACCCGGGCCGGGAGCGAGGCGCCCTCCGGGCCGGGGATGGCATATGTCTGGCACAGGGCATGGGGTGAGCTTGGCCCGGGGGGGCGTGGCGAAGGCCGAGTGGGGTTTTTTTATTTTCCCCCTTGAGCCCCATGTGCCCGCAGGCACATGTCGGCGGCGGGAGGGACGAAAGGCACGCACCTCGCCGAGCATCAAGGGGAGGTCCGACAAAGCGGCCAAGGCCGCCTGCACATCGACGGGGCCCAGGCTCTCGGGGCCGAGCATGCGCAGGGTGAGCTCGGCCAGCGTGCGCGGCCGGGTGGTCCGCTCGAAGAGCAGCGGCTCGCCATCGTCCCAGCGGATGGCCGCCGCACTGTCCGAGTGGAGGAGGATCTCATGCTCGGCTGCCTGATCGTCGGAGCTGCGCGCGCGCAGGCCGGCGGGCGGGGGAGGGGGGACCAGTCAGCGGGCGGGCCTCGGAGGGGGGCGGGGAAAGAGGCACGGACTTCAGGAGGAAGAACTCCCGATGCCGGGAGAAGTAGAGCCGGGAGGAGGCCGGCGGTGCCAGCTTCCGGCGCAGGAGGCCCATGGCCCCGGGCGAAAGGAGAGCCTCCCCGCGGCGGGGGCGATCGGAAATGACCACGCGTGCCAGGAGCAGCAGGGCTCCCGCGTCGATGAGCGACACGGCGGCCGGGACCGCGGGCAGACGGGGGACAAGCGCCTGGAGGAGGAGGGCCGCCCGGCCGGTGGCCACATCCTCCGGGGTGAATGCTCCGGCGGGCAGCGGATTCCCCTCGTGGTCTTGAAGGAGGGCAACCTCGCCGCACAGGCCCGGCAGGCTGATGGCCTGGCCGGTGCATAGGGCGAGGCAAATGCCCGACAGGCGTGAGTGCGGGCATTGATGTGTGGACGGCAGTGTGCCTCCATCGATCGACCAATGGATATACATGTGTGTGTGTGTGTGTGTGTGCGCGCGCGAGCAGGTACGGGTGTGTGCGTGTGTGTATGTGTGAGGGAGCCGCCCAGCCGGGCAGGCTCTCGTGGCGCCTGATCGCACCTGGCCGAGGGACAGCGGGACGCCGGTGAAGTGCTGGAGGAAGGTGGCCTCGATGTCCGGCCGGAGGGTGGCCCCGGAGGACGCATGCAGGCGGAGGAGGGCCATGCGCAGAGCCGGGGGCCGGGGAGCTGGCATGAAGGTGAGCTGCGGATGGCGAGAGGGCGGGAAGAGGGAGTCCAGGTCGTCGGGGTGGGCGAAGAGGGTCCGCTGGGCCGGGGGCTCGGCCAGGGCCACGGTCCGCACGACAAAGGCCCGGCCTGCGTGGACGAAGTAGGGCTCATGCTCGGCATGCTGCAATGGCGTGGTGTCCGCGACAAAGAGGACGCCCGGGTAGAGGCGCGACCGGAGGGGCTCGGCCATGTAGAAGAGCGGGCCGGAGGGCGTGTCCAGCAGGGCCATGCGCTGGGTGCCGCGGACTCGCAGCCACGGGGGGAGGGCGAAAAAAAGCCGCGTCCCCGGGCCAAAGACCCCGACGGACAGGGGCCGGTGGGAGCCCTGCTCGCGCAAGGCGTCAAACGAAAGGCCGAGCTGGTGCCCGAGCACATGGGCCGGCAGGACCTAGGGCACCGTGTGTCGATGCGAGGCCGAGGGGAGGGGGGGGGGGGGCGGGCGAGGGGGTGAGCATGGTGGCGCGGCGGGAAGGGGGGCCGGCATGGCCTGGGGCCCGGCCGGTCGGCAGGCTGGCGTACCCTGCCGGTCGGGACGGGCATGCCCGGAGGCCATGGGGAGAGGTCGCCGGCCGAGAGCACCGCCGCGGGCCGGGGGGCCGGCCCGGCGGCGGCGGGATCCCCCAACGGGCCCGGAAGATCCACGGTGACACGCAGGTACTCGACGACCGGCGGGTCGGACACCATTTCCAGCTCCAAGCGATCGGTCCCCGGGGGGCAGAGCCGATCGCGATCCGCCGGACTGAGATACACCGAGGGGGCATCGTCCTGTGGGAGGGTGTCCAGGGCAATGAGGCATAGAAGCTGGGCCTGGCCGGCGCGAACGTAGCACCGGGCGAGCGAGCGGCCGTCGAGGGCTTGCCGGAGCAGGGCAGCCGGGCAGGCCAGCTCCCCGGCCGCCAGGAGCATCCCCGGCGGGGGGATCCCCAGCGGCAGGTCGACCACCGGCGGCCCGGGGCCGGGCACGGGGCGGATCACCACGTGCGGGACCCGGGCCATGGGGAGGAGCAGGGCCGGAGGTGGCAGCGGGCGGCGGCGGGAGAGGAGGAGGAGGAGTAGAGGTAGGGCAGATGGCAGAAGGGGGTCGGGGCAGATGGGCCGGGTGCCGGGCCACCGCTCGGGTGGGCTGGTCGCTCTTGTCGAGGGCCGGGGCCGGCATGCTCGCCCGGACGGACTCGCGGGGGGAGGTGACGTGTGTGTCTGTGTGTTGAGATGGCCCCTGTGAGCCGGGCGGGGACGCGAGCTCCGGGGGCCGAGGGAGCAGGGCGGATCTCGGCCGATCGACTGCCGGCCGCGGGGTCGGCACTTGGCCCGGCTCACCCGCGGCCTCGGGGGGGGTGGCCCGGTAGACGAGCCGGCTTTCGTGGGCTGAGTGGTCGAGCGGGGGAGCGCGCGCGCGCGCGATCGAAGGGCGCCCACAGGGGCATGTGGAAAAGTGATCTGGCAGCAAAAGGAAAGGAATAGCCCACTGTGGGGCTCGAACCCACGACCCTGGGATTAAGAGTCCCATGCTCTACCAACTGAGCTAAACAGGCTGTTCGAGAGAGGAGGGGGACGGCCGAATTTTTGATCCTGCCGCCGGGCGCGTCTCTTGTGGCGGGGTTCCAGGGGGCTGGCCGCGGCGGAACAGTGCGGGCGGGGGAGTCGGTCGGCATCCGGGCGGGCGGGGGGGGGGACATTGGGTCAAGATGCCGGAGGACGGGCACCGGCGCGCATGCCGGCAGTTCGGCCGACTGCTCGACCGGCAGGGGCGCGGCAGGCGTTCTTCCTGTCCCAGGAGCGGGAGCCCAGGCCGGGGGAGGTCCGAGAGAGGGGCACATCCCCAGTCGGGGGCGGGGGTGCCCGGAAGGATGAAGTCCCCCCGCCCTGGCGAGCGGCGGTGCCGGAGGGGCGGGGCAGCAGCCTTTGCGATGCTGTTCTCTTGGCACATGTGCCATCGCCTGGGAGGCTCCTGCCGATGTGGGCGACAATGGGTGGCTGTGCCTCGGGGATGGCCCCCGGCGATGGGCGGGTACTTGGCCGGGGCCATCTTTTCGCCGGCCAACCGGGCATGGGCGCCCTGCGGCCGGTTTGTCGGAGGCTCCGACCGGGATGGCCGCGTGCATCGGCCGCGGGGGGAGAGGCCTGCGGGCTGGGGGGGGTGTGGGGGCCGGGGGGTGGGCGTGTCCTCGCGCCTCGTCAGGGCTCACGGATAAATGCATGTTCCACGGTCGGGCCTTCACATCCCATCCCGATTAGTATAGTGGTGAGAATCCCCGCCTGTCACGCGGGAGGCCCGGGTTCAATTCCCGGATCGGGAGATCTTTTTTGGCAGGCGCTCGGCGCCCCGCCCCCTCGGCCCTCAGGATAAGTAGCCCGGTCTGGGCCGAGAGCCCCATGGCCGCGTAGCTCAATTGGATAGAGCACCTGACTACGGATCAGGAGGTTGTGTGTTCGAGCCGCATCGTGGTCAATGTTTTTTTTGTTGCCTCGCCAGGCGGGGCCGCCTCTGTCGCGGTCCTTCGGGGGTGAGGGTCCCCCGGTGCGAGGAGAGAGGGACCCGTCGATGGCGGTGGCCGGGCTTTTGTTGAGCCCGCCACAGGGTCCGCGCGGCGGGATGCCGCCGCCCGGGGGCGTTGTGCGGCCGGAGGGGGGGTGCTCTCTTCCTGGGACCCTCCACGCGGGCACCCCCTCACTTGGCCGAACCAGAAAAAACACACACACACATACGGCAGGGGACCCTTGATCGACGGCGAGAGGACCTCCCGACGCCCGGGGGAGACGCTTGACTCGGTCTCGCGCCGGGGAAGGAGGGGGTCCCGCCCCCTCCCCGATGGCCTTGGGCCCCTTTCTTAGGAGATCGGAAGAGCACACGTCGACGGCGAGAGGACCTCCCGACGCCCGGGGGAGACGCTTGACTCGGTCTCGCGCCGGGGAAGGAGGGGGTCCCGCCCCCTCCCCGATGGCCTTGGGCCCCTTTCTTAGGGGGGGGGGGGGGCGAGTCGGAAGGATGGCGGATGAGCAGCTGCCC